GCTCCGTTGTACCTGCTTGATATTCCAAGATAAGATGGAATTCATCTCTTTCCTGCATGGATTCAGGTGGCACAACCACATTGTCATCGAGCAGTTCGTGGAGTTTGGGACCAACTGGGCCACAAAGGAGGATCTAGAAAACAAGGAAAAACAAAGTTTCCCTTGCCATGTCCCTTGTAAAAATTTAAGCATCACCTACACAACTGATTTTAAAAAGTTAATAATTCAATTTTTAACAATCAGCTTGGAAGTCCAACCATATGTTCCACCAGCAGAACCTAAGAAATAACTGCAAAATCCCCAAAATCTACACAGAAGTAACATGAGACAAGCAAATTACAGAACACAAGCAAATGGCATGAGATGTTTGCAACATGTGTGTACCTTCAGGTCTGGGTTTGTTGCAAGCTTCTGCCCGATGAGAGCAGCATTTCCTCCCACGTAAAGCTGTAAAACAAACAGAGCAGGGTGTGGGCATCCCCTTGCTTTGGGACCTTTAAACACATTTAATCCTCAGCACAGGCTGGAGATTTTGGCTTTTCAGAACAAGGTTCAGCAGTACCCAAGTTACTAAAGGTTGTTGGGGCTGAAGGCAAAATGATCTTACAATTCTCTCAACAAGTTGAGCATTCTTTATTTTTAATCTAAATATTCACCTTCAGGTAACAGCCCTGTAAAAATCAATTAATCCCCAACACTGACAGCACTGTAAAAACCAACTCATTCAGCACATAAACAGCCCTTACTCCTGTACAACCTCTCTGTGCCTAAAGCCCTGGGGGTTTTTAGCAAGGCTGACAAGGAATCATTTAAAATCTGCAGCAATTCTTCCTCCAGTCTGAGGCTGAGCTGAAACCTGGTGCCTGTGCCCATGTGAAGTGAAAGGAACTGTGGAAGTTTCTTCAGTAGTAAAGGTCAAACTTTGCAGTGAAACTCTGATTTGAGCTTGAAAAGCAGTGAATATGGGTTGTCCTGAGGGTCACAGGTGCTCAGAGGAGGCCGTGGAGAAGATCCAAGGGCTGCTCTGGAGCCAGGCTGGGAGAGCTGGGGGTGCTCACCTGGACAGGAGAAGGCTCCAGGGAAACCTCAGAGTCCCTGCAGGGCCTGAAGGGGCTCCAGGAGAGCTGGAGAGGGACTGGGGACAAGGGATGGAGGGACAGCACACAGGGAATGGCTCCCACGGCCATTGGGCAGGGATGGATGGGATATTGGGAAGGAATTCCTGGCTGGGAGGGTGGGCAGGCCCTGGCACAGGGTGCCCAGAGCAGCTGTGGCTGCCCCTGGATCCCAAGGTGAGGTTGGACAGGGCTTGGAGCACCCTGGGACAGTGGAAGGTGTCCCTGCCATGGCAGAGGGTGGCACTGGATGGGCTTTGAGGTCCCTTCCAACCCAAACCACTCTTGGCTTCTCTCACAGAAAACAGGCCATACAGCTAAAAATCAGGCAACTCCTCACTCCCAGCCTCCTTTACATCCCCAGCCCATCTGGCTCCCAAGAGACATCTCTGAATTTCAGTTTGGGAATGTCAGCAGGGGAGACACCATTGAACCCCCCCTCATTTACAGCGGGGACAGAATCCCAGGAAAAACCATGAACACAACTCAAGCTACACCACAAGCTTCTTCCTCAATGATTTGCTCTCCAGAGGGAGAATGAAGGTCAGCAGTGCCAAGGCAGTCAGGAAGAGGATTCCCAAGGGTTCCCAAGGGTTCCCTGGCTGCAGACCCACCTGAGCTGCGGGGTGCTCCGAGGCTGTGCGCGCAATGTCCCGGAAGGCCTCGGCGTCGCTGAAGAAGCGCTCGGCAGCCGCCCCTCTCTCCATGAAATGGGCAAAAGCTTCCTTCAGGTCCTGCCCAGAGTTCAGCACTGCATGGTCCTTCCCATCACTGGGCTCCAGCCCCAGAGCCTCCAGCAGCTTCACCCCAGACAGAACCACGTCCACGCAGGCGTTGACGCTGGGAAAGAGAAAGAACAGGCGTCCTGGGAAAAGCAGCCAGAGCTCAGGGCACCTCCCTGTCACATCCCCGACTCTGCAGGGGGAGAACAAGCAGCCAAAGGGAAAAAAGGCACAGCAATTTCCTGAAATTCTCTCCTAAAGCTTTCCCTGCTTCACTGCCTTTTATTGTGTTCAGGGAGGGATTTCTAACTTTCTGCTCCATGCAAACAAGGAAAGCTGTGTGCTCCAAAGGTGGCTGAGTATGTTACAACACAGGTTCTACTTCATTTCCTGCCTTGGGCTTGCTTAAAAAGAACAGGAATAGTAACAGAGGCATTTTAAATTCTTAAAAGCTTCTAATACCCATGTATTTTGGGTTTAAAATGTGCATGTGATTCAAAACTGCATGTTAGAAACAAAACTGAAAGCGTTTAAGTCAGCTAGATCAGCCTCTGGAGTTTCAGCTATTGCTAATAAAAGCCAACCCACACACAACTCCCCACACAGGCTGGCTCTGTTTACAGAAAGTCAAGAGAGCAATTTGTCAGTTGAAATATTTGAAAAGGAGTTTCCAAAGGATCATCCCAACCTTACAGAAACAGCATGCTGTGGAAACAGGAGAAAAATCCTGCGATTGTAAGGGAAGGATAAGAATCATTTCAGCAGATGCAGGTTTTTTTTGATAGTCTGACTTGCAGTCCCCACGTCTCATTGATTCAATCACAGTCTAATTCAGACTACAGGACAGGAGACTTTGTGGCAGGAACCAGAACCCCAGAAGACAATTTAGAAACACTTGCCCTTGTCTCACTCTGTGGTTTCAGAGCAATAACAACAAATAGGAAATACTTCCTGAGATAACCCCAGCAACTGCACAGAGATGCAATTGAAACACCTTCTGTAGCTGCTGTCAAGTGCCATTTCTGTTCCTGTGGCCCACATTTCCCTGACAGGGATCCAACCCATCAAACTCGTGCAGGATGCCTGGGTTTCTCCACATGTCCCCCCAGGACACTCCAAGGGCCAGTTCCTGCTCCCTGGCAGTGAGGAGTGCTCAGCACTCAGCATTCCCTGGCAGTGACCTCTCAGGAGTCACATTTGGGCTGCAACAAAAAAAGCTGCATTACACAAAATAAAGGACATGAAAAACCCTGAGGCTTTCCATTCCACAAGGTAACCAACCCAGAAATCCTCTGGATGTGCATCACCTGCAACACCAAGGACACAGAAATTCCCTAGAATCGTAGAGGAAAAAACCCCATCAATTCAAGCAGCATTTTAGCCCCGAATTTATGTTTTAATGAATCATTACAGATCCAAGGATATGACTAAGTCATATTCCTCTGATAACACAGGGCCACACAGCCATGGACGTGGCTAACTCCTTCCAACAGCCAAAGGATGATTCTTCCAGTCACAGTCAAGTTACCTGCCACGTCCATATATTTAAAAGAAAGTGAGTCAAGCGCTAAATATAAGATCAATGTGACATTCCTGAACTTTCCCCTTGTTCTCTTCCTACTTTAAAAAGAGAAAGGGTGTTGAATTTCCCTGAGCTCAACATCCATTGCCTTCCCTGTCCTTTCCCTCCTTATCTCTCTCCAGCTGTGTCTGGACTCAGTTACCTCTCCCCAAAGAAAGGCTGCACTCATTTCTCCACTTTATAACTTGTCTCTGGTACCTATTTACTGCCAGCCAGCAGCTCCAACTGACCCTAACCCCAACCCTCAGACTGTACACAAAGTTGTTTTACAGACAACCAAACTAGGAATAATATCTCTGAGAAGGGCTCCAAGAGGGCCAGAGCCCAGCTTAAATCCCCACCACAGGAGTGTTCTGGATCATTGATCCTCTCAGCCAACATCCAACTCTGGTGGAGGTGCTGCACTCACTTCCAGCTCTTTTTCATGGAATCATGAAATGGTCTGGGTGGGAAGGGACCTTCAAGGTCATCTGGCTCCATCCCCTGCCATGGCAGGGACACCTTCCACTGTCCCAGGGTGCTCCAAGCCCTGTCCAACCTCACCTTGGGCACTGCCAGGGATCCAGGGCAGCTCCAGCTGCTCTGGGCACCTGTGCCAGGGCCTGCCCACCCTCACAAGGAGGAATTCCTTCCCAATATCCCATCTAACCCTGCCCAATGGCAGTGGGAGCCATTCCCTGTGTGCTGTCCCTCCATCCCTTGTCCCCAGTCCCTCTCCAGCTCTCCTGGAGCCCCTTCAGGCCCTGCCAGGGGCTCTGAGGTTTCCCTGGAGCCTTCTCTTGTCCAGGTGAGCATCCCCAGCTCTCCCAGCCTGGCTCCCGAGCAGAGGGGCACCACCCTCAGGGCATCTCCGTGGCCTCCTCTAGATTTGCTCCAGCAACTCCGCGTCCTGATGTTGGGGACTGCAGCGCTGGAAGCTGCTCCGCAGGTGCGGTGTCACCTGGGCGGCGCAGACACATCCCAGGTACGGGATCCATCCCCCTGCCCGTCGGGGCCGCAGCACATCCGTACCCGCACATCCGTACCCGCACACGTGGGCACCGGGAGGCGCACCCCGGCCCAGGCGCGCTCCCCGCGCGCTCCCGCACCTACCCGACGGCGACGCGCGCCCAGCCGCGCGCGGGACGGACAATGGCCGCCTGCCAGGCCGCTACCGTGCGCGCCTCCAGCGAGCGGGCGCGGCGCAGCGTCCCCAGCAGCGAGGCCGAGAGCTGCCGCAGGGCCGCGGGGGGCAGCTCGGGGCCCAGCACGCACAGGTAGCCCAGCGCCAGGGCCAGCAGGCCCACGCACACCGACCGCTGCCACATCGCGCCGGGCGCGCTCCGCTGCTCCTCCTCCTCCCCCGCTGCCGCGGCTGAGGCGGGGCGCCGCCGGCGGGGGCCTCGTTACGCCGCCTCCGTAGCGCCCCGCCCCCGCCGGCCGGCGGATGGCGTAAATCTCTTCGGGAATCCCGGCGCACTGTCCCTTCTGCGTAATCTGCGTGCGGCTCGGTCGTGCGGTTCCGCTACTTGCGTAAATCGGTATGGGAATAGAGCTCCTCTCTGCGAAACTTGCGTACGGCCCGGTAATGCCGCTACGTCACCTGCGTAACTCGGCACGAGAATAGCATAGGCGGCAGCGGGCGGCGCGTCGTGAGGGGAGGTGGCGGGACAGAGGCTCCCTCACGGCTCCGCCGGGCCGAGCCCTCAGGCAGTCGGGATGAGGAGCCCGCGGTGAGCACTGCCCCGGTGCTGGGGCCTTCGGTAGCGCTGAGCTGATGCCTGCACCCTCCTACGTACGTGGTACTACTGCTGGCCATCCCCTCCCCGGGGTTCCTCCTCACGGTGCCGTTATTTCTTTGTTCCCCAGCACCTTTGTGGGTCTGTGTTGTATTTCCACTCTGCCCCAACAGCGCAGTGCCTGTAGTCCCACAGCTCCTCTGCCCTGCCTCACACCAAAGTTTCTTAAAGGCTCACATCCATCAACCCAGTCACTGTCTTATAACCAACTCTATTTTTTTTTATTTTTTTTTTTATTTTTTTTTTTGTGAAAAAGTTCCTGGTCTGTCTCGGTTTCGTGCCTTCCTCAGGGTGCGGTGGCCTCATCAGAGCTGCCCACAGCCCTGAGGGCACCGGCGCTGGGAGCGGGACTGGGAACGCCCTTTGCTGCCTGGTGCGTCCCTCACAGAGATGCCCTAGTGAGCAAGAAGGGAGGTTTCGCTTTCTAATGAAAGGGAGTTTTTCTGGGCTTCTTTAGAAATCGCAGGAGCGTTCACTCAGAGACTTCTGACAAAATTTGCAAGAGTTTGACAACTGTGTGCCACAGCGCGTTGGCTGAGGCAGCCGATAATTTCCTTATTCAGTTCTGTGTTGTGAGTGATTGTCATCTCCTCAGACTCTGACAAAGCAAGCAGTAAAGGAGATAGGTTAGTGAAAGGCTTTTTTGCTGATTTTTCTTTCTTTTTAGGATGGTATTTAGTCAGCAGCCATGCCATGGATTCGTGTCTGGCCCTCATGGCTCATTGCCTGCCCATCAGGTTCCCTTTCTTCTTAGACATTGCCATATAGGACATCCTCATTTATTTGTGTATTCTCTTTCTCTGAAATTATTCCTCAGAGCTTTGAGGGAGCAAAGATGGGCAGGGCAGGTGGTGAAGGAGAGAGTGAGAACCTCCTCACCTGACAGCTGACGGTGACCCAGGGCATGGCTGGGATTGTGAGCCTAAAGCGATACTGTAATGATCTTAAAGAACAGAATTGTGAAGACAAACTAGAGGCCTTTCTGCCTTCCCTGTTTTTCAACAGATCCTTATGCAGTTCTTTATCCTCAAATACCTTCCTGCCACAGCAGCCCTTCACAGAGTGAGCATCTTTTCCTCTCAGACCCTGTTCAGCTCACCAGAGTTGCTTGGTTAAGGTGTAACTCCCCTTTTCCTTTGCTCGGGTGCTCTTTGGTTTTTGTCAGTAGCTTTTTCATTTGAGCAGATTTAATCATTTCCCCTTCAGTGCTTTTCCGGCTGATGTTTGATCGGTGTGTGTTTATGAAATCTCGCTGGTTTCACACTCCCTGGGGGAGAGGCCTGTGAGGCTCTCATGGTTACAAACAGCTCTCCAGCCCAGGCAGGCAGAGACAGCAGAGTACATACCTGCCCCAAAACCCTGCTGCAATGAGGGCTTCACCTGTGGGACCAGGGCTATTTATAGCCTTGTCACAGAACATCATAATTAGATGTGCCCACGGGGCAGCCTCAGCCCAGAGCGTCGTCACTGCTTGGGGACCCCATTATTAGTCCCATGTCAGGGTGTGGCTGTGAGCAGCAATCTGACACAGCAGCTCTTTGGGGAATTAAGGCACAATTCACAATTGGGGTGATGGGTTTGTCACGTGGTGCTGATGCAGTTGTTGCCCTGAAGAGTAAAGCTTGGGTTTCTTTTTCTGCAGATGCAGTTTCCACATCGATGCAATGGATGCTGCTGAGGAGGAACCACCTCAGTTTGGTCTTTGTAAACTGCTGCTGCTCAGCCTGCATGGACAGTTCTGGCAGTGCACTTGAATAAGGCTGCAAAGGTAATTGTATGATTCATTTTACAATCTGCCAGCAAAAATAAGAGGTCTATAAAAAGACAAGTTCTCTCAGAGAACCTGTTCAGTTAAAGAGCTAAACACCCATTTCTTGGTCAACATTTATTTTTTAAGCCAATGGAGATCTTGATTTGCCTCAAACAGCAAAATTAGAGGTGAAAATGTTGGCTGAGAACTGAAGTCCAGGTCCTTATTGCCTGCCCTTGAGTTACCCCATGAATTCTAGTTAGAGGTAACAGAGAGGGACACAGGGCTGTTGCATTCATATGAGCTAACTCAGACTGAATAAAAAGTATTGATTAAATACCTGTTTAATTATGGAAATAGCAAGCTGATTGCCTCTGGGTCACTGCTGTGTGTAATTTCAAAGAGTTGAAACTGATCTCAATGAATTTTCACTGGGATACTTTTATTAAAAGCATGAGAAGAGAAGGGTAAGATTTAAAATATTTTTCAGGATGGAAAGAGTTAAAATTTAATGTCAACAGTTTTCCTTCCTTTCTTTTCCCTGGTGTTATGAAGTCCTTGTACAAGAAATCTTTTTCTTGACAGCTTTTTGGTGTAAGCTGCTTGTGAGTTGGGGGGATGGTAGAAGGACAGTGGTTTTAATCAGTGTTCAGTTATTGGAAATGGAACTTGTTCCCTTTAGGAAAAAAAAAAAAAAACAAACCAGAAAAGGTGAGGAAAAAAGAGAAAAGGTGGAACCCCCCTGTTTCTGCAGGAAGCAGACAAAGGATGGGATTCTTGCTTGTGTGAAGATTAGCTCTGGAGAGCTGCACTGTGGCACCTGTTCTCAGGCCACTCAGAGCTGACAGACCTGTCTGTGTGAGCTTTGGACCTCACTGAATTTGCTTTTCAGACCATGGCCTTGGAGAAATGAGGCTTTGCCAGACCCTCATTAGGCAGGAGGCAAGAGGGGAGGGAATGAGGGTGGGCACGGGGAGGAAACAGCAGGGAGGGGTGAAATCCAAAGGTTCTAGTTCCCAAAGGAGATCTGGAAACCTGTTTTTCTTTCTCTGAACTCACAAGCTTGAAGCAATTGTCTTTACTCCTTATTGAGTTGAGTTTCCATGTTCAAATGGAATATGGAAACTCATATTCCCTTTGAGCTGCTTTGGCCAGTTAAACTCTAGGTCAGTGCACAGCACAGGGAGGGGAGGAGCCTTCCCAAAGTCTGAATTCCTTTGTTGTTGTTAGGATGGGTCATGTGTGGCTGCAGTGCCTGGGCTGGAGCCAATGAACACTGGGCAGGACCCAGGGCAGGTCCTTGAGCCCCTGTCCTGCCCAACACTCCCAGTGTACTGTCCCTTATCCCTGCCTTCCCCTGGAGTCAGTCACTCAGGTTTTGTGTGTCACAGCTCACTCATGTGTGTGTCATCACACCTTGCTGTCAGACTGCCTTTGCTCAGGGCTCATTTTATCTGAGCTGTGTGTCCGTGTTCACAGGAGTCTGAGAATGAGGGAAGAGATGAGGATCTGACTCCATGTTTCAGAAGGCTGATTTATTATTTTATGATATATATTATATTAAAACTATACTAAAAGAATAGAAGAAAGGATTTCATCAGAATACAAGAAGAAATAATGATAACAAAGGCTTGTGGATCGGGCTCTCTGTCTGAGCCAGCTGACTGTGATTGGCCATTAATTAGAANTCACAAGCTTGAAGCAATTGTCTTTACTCCTTATTGAGTTGAGTTTCCATATTCAAATGGGCTCATTCCCTTTGAGCTGCTTTGGCCAGTTAAACGCTAGGTCAGTGCACAGCACTATACTAAAAGAACAGAAGAAAGGATTTCATCAGAATACAAAAAGAAAGAATGATAACAAAGGCTTGTGGCTCGGACTCTCTGTCTGAGCCAGCTGGCTGTGATTGGCCATTAATTATAAACAACCACATGAGACCAATCACAGATGCACCTGTTGCATTCCACAGCAGCAGATAACCATTGTTTACATTTTGTTCCTGAGGCCTGTCAGCTTCTCAGGAGGAACAATCCTAAGGAAAGGATTTTCCATAAAAGCTGTCTGTGACAGAGCTGGACACTCTTTCCAGGCACACACCACTCCATGTACGTGGGGTCAGTGCCCACCTGTGACATTCCATGGCAGCCAGCAGCAGAACACGTGGGGTGGGTGCTTGCTACTTGTGTGGCTTCACTGAGAGAGGAAAGAAAAAATTGAAGCTTGGCTTTTTGGATGGATCCTAACAAAGGCCTAGAAAATTCACAAAGTTTCTGCTGAGCCATGCAGATGAGCAGAGGAGCTCTAATTAAAATACACACTCAGTGTTGTTCTCAGAAACTGGGCAACATTCCCCATCTGAGCTCTGCCAGCAGATCTCAGTCCTGGACTTCAACACCCACTGCTGCTCTGCTCTGTGAGACACCCACTCAGCTTGGCCAGCACAGCTCCATCTCAATCAGAAACATCTCGTGCTGTTCCAATTCTGGGCCCTTTACGAGCACAAAATGCCATCTCTCTACTAAATTGTGCCAAATTGCTTCGTTTTGGCTGCAGTACTCATTCTCACTTGTCACCTAATGGGGTACCTGGGGACTTCCATCCACACTAGCAGCAACAGAGGAAGACTCGTGCATGGCCAGCCCCCTGCTAGGCCCCTGATTATTTAGTGATGTGTTAATAACAAACACTCTTTCATGTCTTGGCAGTTGCAAACCTCTCCTCAATAGAGCAGCGCTTCAGAACTAGAATGGCATGGGAAATAAGCAAGTCCCTGGTTTAAATAATTAGTATCAGCTTCTCTGGCAAGTCTGTTCCCAGAATGAGAGTTGGGAAGAGTCTGAAGCTGCCAGATGCCACTTTTGTGGATGTTCTAGAGAATCTGAACCACGTTGGAGAGATTTGCTGTGCAAAAGTATTTCTGCACAGAAAATCCCTTTCGCTCTCTCCCAGGTTATGAATCTGCCTTCCTTGGAGATCTTGCCACCTCCCAGTTTTTGACAGCTCAGCAGTGAGAGGCAAAACTATTTCCATGATGCCAGGCAAGAACTGGCATCATCCATGTCCAAATTTATGCATTTCTTTCAATTGGAGCCAAATTGCTGGATCTTGCAGTGCTGGTTGCTCACACCCTGTGGTGACCAGCCTGGCTTCCAAAAAATCCACAGGAACTGGTGCTGGTAGCAGCTGGCCCCTCTGGGCTACAGGCCCCTGAACACAAATGCCCGCCCTTTTCCCTGGCAAACAAAAGTCACCAGGTAAGGCTCCTGATGGCAGATCAGCCACTTGGCACTGTCAAACCAGCCTGAGTTGGCACTGGTCCCACTGTGGGTCAGGGAGGCATCCTGCACATTGCGGAATTTCAGGAGCCAGCTGGCCACTCTGGGTCACAGGTCCCTGAACACCAACGCTGGCCCTTTTCCCTGGCAAACAAAAGTCACCAGGTAAGGCTCCTGATGGCAGATCAGCCACTTGGCACTGTCAAACCAGCCCGAGTTGGCACTGGTGCCAGCTTGGGGAGCACCCCAAGCAATCAGAGGTTGTGGCAGTGACTGCTGAGCTGCTTGTTTCTGGAGCTAATGGTTGAGATCAATGAAGATGGAGCAACTAAAATTTGTGGGAAGAAGACAGGTTAGGAAGTCATCCTCAGGAAGTGAGAAACTTTGGTAGGCAGGTATTTCCAGTTCTGCTCCTGTGTGACTCCAGCTGCAACACTGTCAGGGGCTGAGCTCTGCAGTGAAACCTGAGTTTATCTGTCAGGTGTGGCCTTGTAAACATGAGGGTGATTAGATGTGTTAGAGTTGTAGGCACACAGTTTGTGGTGATTGGGAGTGGGGATACAGCCCAGCCTCATCCCCAATGGGTACAGCTGTGAGCAGCACTGCCAGCAATGAGCCAGGGAGTGCCCAGGGGCACCACCAAAGGGAGCAGAGGGCACACAGGGACAGTGCATAAATATGAGGGAATAAAATGTTGGGCTAAAGAGCAAGAAGGGCAGATGTTTGCAGCTTTCTGGTGTGACATGATGTTTCTCTGTATGGGCAGATCCTGAAACCTTCTGAAGTGGTCTGGTGTTACTCTGCATGGGTTGAAGCTTCCTGATGTTGTGTGATGATGCTCTGTGTATTGTGCTATCTTGCTGCCACAAGAGGTGTGTTGTTCAGAAGAAAGGATGGGTATATGTGAGCAGAGCAATGCTTGAAGTGTTTTCAAGCATTCTTAACTTGGCAAGGTAGAAGATGGATGACAGATGCTCAGTCTTATCTCTGGGAAGGAACTCTGAAATCCAAACTTGAATTATTCTGCAGTACCCTACATCCATCCAATTTGCATGCCCATTGGTGAGCGTTCTGTGGGTTGTAGCTCATTGTAAATACTTTGGATTCTGTATTGTGGTTGTTATAATTTATATTCACATCATTTCAGCACTAACAGCAGTGCCAGTGTTGCTGGGAGTGAGTGTCCCTTGAAATGTTTGGTGCCTACTGAACCTGACCTAATTCCTGTGATACAAAAGGCATTGCTAAAACCTCATCATGTACCACAAACTGGTGTAGTACAACCCCACCAGCAGAGTTACATGCTAAAAGGGGCAACCTTCATTTCTGTTACTGTTCTAGACAACTCCCAAAAGCTGGGTCCTGGAGAAGCCTTTGATTTGCAGCCTTTAAGGCTGTAGTTGAAGCCCTTATGGAAGAAGGATTTAGGCAGGCCTGGAAAGGTGAGAAGAGAGAAGCCTGAGTGTTTGCAGTGCTGTAGGGGCTTCCAGCTTGCAGAGCTGTGTGTGGGGGCTTCTGGGGGCTCTTTGCAAGGGACAGGAGCCCTCAGGTTTCCATGAGCAGGGGAGAGGGAAAAGAGAGGGCCACAGTTTTACCAGCAAATGTGCACTTGAGCTCTCAGTGTGATCATAACCTGCTTCTGTTCCTCACGTGGTGTGTGTCCTATGACTGGAATAGACAGTCTTGCTGCCCCCTGTTGGCGGAGTGACTAAATTATTCATTGTCTGCTTAAAAAGGCAAAAA